ACCTCCTATTATGGAAAATTTACAGAGTGAAGAGGCTAATGATGATGATTATAACGATGAACCAGGTTATTATCAAGCCTCTGAACCTCCAAAAAGTATGGATGATCAAGTTTTTGAAAGGAATGATTTTGATGAAGATGAACCTATTGAAGTCGTACACAATTCTCAACTTAACGATACAGATTTGGATTTCCAAGTTAATATTCAAAGAAAAACATTACTTTTAGCTAATGAGTCTAATTTACCGAGAGCTTTATCAACTGTTGAAATGCCACCTGATATTCTGTCTCACCTACAAAACCGGAGTTAACTGCTTCTCAGCAAAAAGTTTATGATGCATCTTGGTTATAATGTTATTAATGCGACGACTATTTGGGACACACTTAAATATTAGGATACGTTTGTACTGTATATACTGTATTAAACCCTTTATTTTCTTTGTAATTTATATTTTTGTCCCCATATTTTTTCCTTTAATGGGTTTAATTTTTTGTTAATGCAATTATCTTTTTTTTCCTCTTGGTTTATTGTGATGCAATATGCAATGAACAAGAGTTCGAATCATATAAACATTGTAAGATAGTCCATTCATTTTGTTCCATTTATACATAACTACTATTTTTATATCTTATTGCTTTCTAAGCAAAATACTTGCTACGTATTATGCTGTAGTCTATTCCTGATTATCCATATTTGTATTTTATTTATACATTTATTTGTGTCTCATAAATATGCCATTAAGTCACATTATTTCTATAAAACCTAAAAAAAAATCAGGTATTTCTCTGGTTTAACGAAAAAAAAATTCTTGATTGCTAGTAATTTGAATTTGTCGTTTTTAAAGACTGTTAGTTATCTTTATTCACTTGTAAAGACTGTTAATTACCTTATTCCTTTGTCAAGTGATTCTGGATTAATTTAGAACTGTGCATTCTAACCATAGGAAAATTATAAAAATCTATAGAATCTTAGTTATTTTATAACTGAGTGTGTGCAAGCCATTGTCATTGTTAAAAATTGAAATGTGATAAGTGGACACTGACAAATTATCTAGATGGCCATTGTTAAAATTATCTGGATGAGCATTGTATATAATGCATATTCATGCAACGTGAATACGCAAAATCCTTCTATCAGCTGATGGATCGTATGCAATGCAAATTGTTACACAGATATTTACATTACGCACGTGCACGTATTGTACGTGCCGACCTAATATTATCCGGTTCGCAGGAGACAATGTGTTTAGTAATAAGAATTTGTTAAACTTGTATATGTGGTATATAGTAAAGTAGTACGGTACGGAAACGCAAATTAGGACGGATATGTAGAAATCATGATTGTGTACTGTACATACGGTTTTCGTCAAACCCAAATTACTTCTACTAAACTTTACACGAAAAAGGACAATACTAGCTCTCACATAAACCTTAATCATTAAAATGGGTTACCATTACGACGCATTTTTACACTACCCTAAATTTATGACGCAGCATATAACGCATAATAAACCATCGATATTTTATCAACGTATATATATTTAACGTTAAGGATATACCATCAACAGATCGATTTTAAGATAAATTTATAGCA